TCCATACCTAGCCCATAGTGATGTGACCCATTCAGGGCCATAGTGGGGTAAGTTTTCTATACTGATACAACTATTAATTTAGCTGAGTGACACCCTGTTCTCATATTATGGAAGTGGGTTTGGTTGTTGTTTTTGTTTGTTTGTTTGTTTTAATAAACGTGAACAAAAAGTTTCCATAATCCTTTTAAGTATCCTTAATGTACACTATTTAGCAAAGCATCTCCAACTGATTAATATGAATTAGCAAGATTCTATTGTTTCTTTTCATGTGATACTGACATTATCAAACAATATTGTTCTTATACCTTAGATACCAATTTTTAAAAAAAAATTTTTTTGAAGAGCAACAGAATTGTTTGTTTCTTGTAAAGACTGAGGAGACAATAACATTTGCTTAATATATTGATTTTACAAATTTGTAAATAAAAAAGGAACGTCCCACTGTGACATATATCCCTTACTTATTACTTATGAGTTTATTAAGACTTTCACACACCTTAGAAGTTATTTAAGAAAGAATACAATGGCGGATAAAATTTTCAATATAGTAAATATCATGAGATGGCGGGTGTTTATAGCCCTGCTCGTGGACAAGAAAAAAAAAGTCTAATAGCACAATATAACGTCTGCTAAACTGATCAGACCCCTCAACCAGTTAATAATTCAACAACAGAATATTAGAAATCCCATCCAACATTGATCTCCAATTTAATTGGTGGAGCAAATAACATTTTTGTTAAATGCTTTGAAAAAAAGTAATCTTTGCAGCAAAAACTCTATCAATACAATCTATAATTTATAGTTTGTAATTTTCATCACCCTGGAAACTGCCTCCAATTGAATAAAAGTCCTTACTTAGTTGAATGACAAATACTGGAATGAAACTTAACATCACCGACAAAACAATTTAACTCACTTTTACTTAAAGACAAAATGATTTGAGTCTTATTTTTCCTTCTTCTATTGTTAGATAACAATAGCTAATAAAAGGGTAGCCGAACATTTGAATTTGCCATGAATTTTACATGAAAAACAACAAGGTGTGTGTGGGTTTTAAGATACACTCAGAGTAAAGGCTACCCATTATACCGTCCATTGACTTAAGCGAGAGTTTTCCCCCCAAGTAAAAGCTACAGTTAGGAGTCTGAGGTGCACGCCTTTGGTGCACTGTTTAGCATAAAGGAACAGGCAGAAGGCTTAAAGACAGTCAATAAACAAGAATCTTGTGGGTTTGATATGTATGTTCTAGGGAGGCAACCTTCCTAACTACAAGGCCAAGGTGCTGACAATATAGTAAAGCAGAACACTATTATTATTTCTATATTACTGTAGACCCCAGGACCTCTAGTCATAGAACAGGACTCCCTTGTGCTAGGCAGTACAGAAACAGGAAAGACGGGGGTGGAGGGGGGAAGGGGGTAGGAGGGAGAAAGACAGCCTCTGCACCAATTTAAGTATAAGCCAAGAGATAACATATTGATATATACAGACCAAGGGGGAAGTAACAAGGAAACAATGAGACAGTAGTAGACAGCAGCACAATACAATACAGTAAAAGAAATCAACTTGAGCTAAATCGATAAGACACTCAGACCAAAATAAGAGTGTCCAACACAGGGGTTGCACCAATTTAACTTAATCAGTTTCTAAGCCAATGTATTAAAAATGTGTGTAATTCTCTCATGTGACAGGCCTTTAATAAAGCTTTTCCATCATAACTAAAATACTTCATACAATGAAAAAACCCTCTCCCCTCATTAAACCCTCTCCACCTGCAAAAAAGAGAGACAACCTAACTTGAAGCAGTTACAAAACATTTATAAAAATGCATTAAATAAATACACATTGACTAGTTTTTGAAGACTTTACTTTTATATGTGTATTCAGACTAGGTCTATATACAAGATGCCTTTCTGCTATGACATCCAAGATTTGGTAAAGGGAGGAAAGAACTGGGTGAATAGAAATAGAGTAAACTGTTAATCCAGGAGTCTTACCTAGACACATGGTTCTAATGTGCTTTGAGGAGGTTTTGGAAGAAATTGATAAACTAAACAGTAATAAGTCACCAGGACCAGATGGTATTCACCCAAGAATTCTAAAGGAACTCAAATGTGAAATTGCAGGACTACTAACGGTCATCAGTAACCTATCATTTAAATCAGCTTCTGTACCAAATGACTGGAGGATAGCTAATATGATGCCAATTTTTAAAAAAGGCTCCAGAAGAGACCCCGGCAATTACAGGCCAGTAAGCCTGACTTCAGTACCGGGCAAACTGGTTGAAACTATAGTAAAGAACAAAATTGTCAGACACAGATTAACATAATTTGTTGGGGAAGAGTCAACATGGTTTTTGTAAAGGGGAATCATGCCTCAGCAATCTACTAGAATTCTTTGAGGGGGTCAACAAGCATGTGGACAAAGGGGATCCAGTGGATATAGTGTACTTAGATTTTCAGAAAGCCTTTGACAAGGTCCCTTACCAAAGGCTTTTATGGAAAGTAAGCGGTCATGGGATAAGAGGGAAGGTCCTCTCATGGATTGGTAACTGGTTAAAAGATAGAAAACAAAGGGTAGGAATAAATGGTCAGTTTTCAGAATGGAGAGAAGTAAATAGTGGTATCCCCCAGGAGTCTGTACGGGGACCAGTCCTGTGCAACATATTCATAAATGATCTGGAAAAAGGGGTAAACAGTGAGATGGCAAAATTTGCAGATGATACAAAACTACTCAAGATATTTGAGTCCTAGGCAGACTGCGAAGAGCTACAGAAGGATCTCTCAAAACTGGGTGACTGGGCAACAAAATGGCAGATGAAAGTAATGCACATTGGAAAACATAATCCCAAGTATACATATAAAATGATGGGGTCTAAATTAGCTGTTACCACTCAAGAAAGATCTTGGTGTGATTGTGGATAGTTCTCTGAAAACATCCACTCAATGTGCAGAGGCAGTCAAAAAAGTGACCAGAATTTTGGGAATCATTAAGAAAGGGCTAGATAAGAAGACAGAAAATATATTGCCTCTATATAAATCAATGGTACACCCACATCTTAAATACTGCGTGCAGATGTGGTCGCCCCATCTCAAAAAAGACATATTGGACTTGAAAAAGGTTCAGAAAAGGGAAACAAAAATGATTTGGGTTATGGAACAGCTGCCATACGAGGAGAAATTAACAAGACTGGGACTTTTCAGCTTAGAAAAGACACGACTAAGGAGGAATATGATAGAGGTTTATAAAGTAAATGAGGAAGTGTTATTTACTCCTCATAACAGAAGAACTAGGGGTCCCGAATGAAATTAATAGGCAGCAAGTTTAAAACAAACAAAATAAAGTATTTCTTCACACAATGCACAGTCAATCTGTGGAACTCCTTGCCAGAGGATGTTGTGAAGACTAAGACTATAACAGGGTTCAAAAAAGAAATAGATAAATTCATGTAGGATAGGTCCATCAATGACTATTAGCCAGGATGGCATCCCTAGCCTCTGTTTGCCAAAAGTTGGGAATGGGCGATGGGGATAGATCACTTGATGATTACCCGTTCTGTTCATTCCCTCTGGAGCATTGGCCACTTTCAGAAGACCGGATACTGGGCTAGATGGACCTTTGGTCTGACCCAGTACGGCCATTCTTATGTTAATCAAGACTATTAGCTCTCTTCATTAAAGTAAAAAACTACATGTGCCTTGTCTCCACTAGGATTTTAAAGAGATATCTCATTGTAAAATACACCTTTTTTGGCTGTGAAGATATAGCCTTTGAAGGTTTCATGATCAAACTCTATGCTGAGTAAAAGCACAGGGCATCTCCCTCTTCAACTTTTTTTTTACTAGTGAAAACAAAGTGTATTTTCCAATATAGATCTCTCATTGTAAAAAACACACCTTTTGACTGGTGAAGACACAGCATGGGAGTAGGTCTACACAGTTAACTCATACTCATTTAGACATATGCTAACTAGTTAATGTTGCCAGCAGGAGTACCAATAGCAGTGAAGCCATGACAGCACAGGCTTCAGTGCAGGCTAGCTGTTTCAGTAACTAGTACCAAGCATCCCTGGTAGGCTTACACTGTCTGCACTGAAGACTGTTCTGCTGCAGCTTCACTGCTATTGGTATGTCTGTTAGGACTGGTCTACGCATAAAACGCTGCTGTGTTTCAGTGAAGACACTACCTACATAGACAGGAGGGGTTCTCCCATTGGCATAGGTAAGTCACCTCCCCCCAGAGACAGTAGATAGGTCGATGAAGAATTTTCCCATTGATCTAGCGCTGTCTACACTGGCGGTTAGCTCAGTTTAACTGTGTCACTCACAGGTGTGGATTTTTCACACTCTGACAGTTATATTACTGACAGTTATACTGACCTAATTTCCTAGTGTAGATCAGGCCCCTAGACTAAAGATATCTTAAGTACACCTACTCATGCTGCAGTCACACCTCTGATTGCTATGTAGGCACCCCAGGAAAGCTTTGGGACGCATTCACACTGGCCTTTACAAACACATTGCCTGTTAACTTAAGGTGGGCTATCAGTTATCTCGAAGTAGAAGAGTACACACAAACCTTATGGGTCAGGAGGTAAACCATGACTGCCCACAGTACCAGTCTGGGAATAAAGGGCTTCTCCTCACAGCAAGGTGATACAGGTTGGGGGAAGGGTGATCTTCACCTCTAGGACGTGTCCTCAGATGCTCTCCCTGCCACAACAGTAACTGGGGGAATGAATACATCTGCCCACCCCACAACCAAACAACGAATGGGGAGGGGGGGACACACAGCTTTCCACAGTGTGAGCCACCTCTCCAGCAGCACGTGTGCGGTGGAAGCACCGCATACCACACACTCCTTGCCGCTCCCTTCCCGTCTCCAGCAAGGCCGGGGAGAGGCGGTAGAAGGGGGGCGGGAAAGCGCCTATTCTGCCCCCGGGGCCGGCTGGAACGTTGGTGTCTGAGCGTTCCATCCAGGCGCTCAGGTAGCCCCTCCCCGCCGCTGCCGTCCCCCGGCCCCGCCCCGCGAGGAGGCTGGAGGAGGGGGCTGTGGCCGGCGTGGGGCTGGGAAGAGGAAGCGGGGAAACGCTCCCAGGCGGCAGCAGCGGCGGGCGGGGTCACGAACTCTGACCTTTCACAGGGGCACGGCACAAAACCAAAACAAACCCCCCCGCTAACAAATACTACTAACCCGAGGCCCCCCCTCCCCTCCGCCCTCTCGGGCCCGTCGCCCAGCACCGCTGCCTAACAGGCCCGGTTGGACCCGGGTCACCGCCGGGGCACGTTTGGCGCCAAAGCCTGAGGTAAATTGTTTTTTCTAAATCAAAATACCCCGCGGCGCCTGATCTTAACGGGGCCCGGCCAGGCCGCCCCTGGGGAAAAGAGCACGCCCGCTTGAAGCGGCTGGGGCCCGGCTTCGCGGACACCCTGGTTCGGATTCCGGGTGTCGGTGGTAGCCGAGAGCCGGCCGTGCCTAGGTCTGGGTGGGCTCACGGGTGGCTCCCTGAAAGCCGCTGGGCCGATCGAGGCGGAGTCCGCTCCGGAGCCACTCAGCGGAGTCGGGCCCGCCTAGGTTCCGAGCCGGTCTGGCGTTCGTGCGAGCGACTTGCTGTCCGGGCGGGCTGGGTGGCTGCGGGAGAAGGGGTCCGGCCACGCTGTAGAGAAACCCCGGCCACACACAGGGAAGATGGAGTCTGAGCGGGCGGAGGCGGCGGCTTGAACCCGACCCTTTTACCTTTGCCACCGGGAGGGCGGAGGGGAGGGGGCGGTGGGTACTTTGCATACGGGGCCGGGACCGCCGCCATCTTACCGGCCGCTCCCCCACAGCCGTGGCCGGGCCCTTCAAAGCTCGACAGAGCACATACCGGAGGGGTGGGGGGGGTCTAATGGCGGCGGCGCTGCCTGGGACTTGGCCGGCAGCCAGCACCGCCATCTTGTGTTTTTCCGCGTCCCTCGAGTGTTTTTCCTCGTAGGCGGGAGGCGGGCCAAGTGGTTTAATTGGCACACCCGTTAGCCAATCCGCTCTTTGGGGCTGGGCAGTTTTACCTTTAAAATGAGCCGATTGGTGGGGACAGGAGGCGGGAAAAGGAGGCGTGGTTTCCGCGCGCATAGGGTGAAGACGCGCTCTGGACGACTTAAGTGAAGGGGCGTGGGAAGGGCTGGGAGCGCGGCGCCAGCATTGGCCTATGGGGCTCACGAGTGTAGCGACCAACGGGAAGAGAGCTGCGGTCTGGTCCTACCTTAGTAATATGCCCCTTCCCTGGGTCCTGTACTGCCAGTTATTTCCTTCCTGCCCCAAGTAGTGAAGTAGCGGGCTCCTGGAGTAACAGTTCCACTACAGGCTTTCAGCCTCGACTCCCCAGTCTAACTGAGGAGATCCGTGATGGTCTGTCCTCCTGGATAGTTTGTGACCTGAGCATCAGGTTTGAAGCACTCAGATTTCTTGGGACCTACAAGTTCAGATCCCAGCACTGTTGGACTGTGTGTCCTCCCTCCCTGAAATCACACAGCTTCACTTCCACCCAGTGGAATAAATGGAGTATTTCACCTCAGCGCTTGTAGTTTGAGATTGTGCCTGCTTTCTTCTGAGACTAAAGATTTGTTGTATTTTTGGTAAAACAAACTTTACAGTAGGCTCTTGGCCAGCCCTATGTCCTTTGCTGCATAATGAGGTGGCTCTTCTTCCACCTCTGTTGAGACTGCATTAGAGTGATGTACTTACGTATTTTGCAAAGCACATTTAGATCTGTCACAATGAAGGGTGTCACACAACAGTTGACTATGAAGATAGAAGGGGTAGGGCATGAGCTCCTATTTATTCAATATACACACTTCTTGATGACTTGTTTTATTTAGCTGTTAGAATTTTTATAAAATACAAAAAGCACCAGGAAACTCTACTATATGATTAAAAAAACTAATTGGGGGGGGGGTGAGAGAGAGATCGCATCCCATGAAACACAAGCCCAGAAGGCCTTGAAGAATTTGTTGCGCAATAGTGTATCTATTTTGCTGAATAGGGTATCTGGTATTCAAGGTCTTCTTTGTTACAAAACTAAAAAAATGTGGTGAGCACATATTAATGTCTGTTCCTGCTGAGCTAAAGATGTTAAATGTCCTGGTGGAAATGGTTTGTAAACTTATACGTAAAAATTGAACAGCCTGGAAAAAAAATTGAGAACTAGAAGACAATTCTCAGAAATACAAATACTGTATGGTTTTAACAGAAAACCTGTCTTATTTTTGGCTTTGTTTTGTATTATGTCAAATATTCTGTCATATTAACATATGCAAAATCATTATTTGCATGTGCAACTTACCACATTATGATTCTTATTTTCTAAAACTAATGTATTTTGACATTTATGTCTTTCAACAATGACATTTATTAATTTGGTAGCATTTACTCCATAAGGATTTTTTTCTTTGTGTTGGATAAATGCATTTTTCTGATAGAGTTTTGATACAGGTGGTCACATTTTTGGTGTCAATGTGCAAATTATTTTAAATATGACTAACTGGTTCCCAGTAAAATAATATAGCACAATGTCGGGAGATGAGGAATTATTATCCTTATTTAGCAAGTGCTGCGGATACAGTTCTCCAAGTATATTATGGAAATTTTAGTGCATGGTAGTAGAATCCACATGACAATTTAGGGCATGGCAGGTTAATGCACTGTAGATTTACACCTGTGCTTGCCATGCAAAGTCTTCGTGTAGACGGGTCCTAAGTGTGGGTTCCAGAATTGGATGTAATGATGTTAAATAATAATAATTGGGCTGGCTGGGGAATCAGAGGGAACCCCAAGGTTGGGGTCTAAGCTCCCTACCCTCCAGAAGGACCTGACTAAGGGGTCCTGTTTATGCCTACAAGCTCTGGTTTGGACTGTGTTCCCGTCGTCTAATAAACCTTCTGTTCTACTGTCTGGCTGAGAGTCATGGTGAATCGCAGGAAGCCGAGGGTGCAGGGCCTTGTCTCCCCCAAACTCTGTGACACCCTCTATTCCAGGGGTTGGCAAACTTTGGCTCCTGACCCATTAGGGTAAGACTCTAACAGACCTGGACGTTTTGTTTACCTGGAGTGTTCACAGGCACGGAGCCCCTCAGCTCCCAGTGGCCGCAGTTTGCTGTTACCAGCCAATGGGAGCTGTGGGAAGTGGTGCGCCTGCAGCTCCCATTGGCTGTGAACGGTGAACCGCAGCCACAGGGAGCTGAGCGGCTCGATGCCTGCAGACGCTCCAGGTAAACAAAACGACAATGTATTAGATATTCAATGATTCCATAGAGTTTAAAATAATCAAATTTTTGTGTAGCCCCATTTATAAGCCGACCCCCCCTCTTTGATGTGTCACTTTTTTACCAAAAATATTTGGCTTATGAATGAGTAAATACGGTAATAATAAATGGATTTTTGTTCTACAAATAAAAGCACACAACTCATATTTTAATATCCGTAGTCTTACCTTTCTAATGCAATGGATGTGCCCTCTCTCCCCTGCCTTGGCAGCCTCCGAGCTGGGGCTGGGAAGGAGGGGGGTCTCTCCCTGTCTCCCCCACCTCAGCAGTCCTCAAGCTGGGGCTGGGAAGGCCGGTGGGGGTCTCTCCCCCACCACAGCAGCCACAGAGCTGAGGCTGGGAAGGAGAGCCGTCTCTCCACAGCAGCCGCAGCCCTGGAGCTGGGAAAAGTCACCACTTTCTCTGGCCTCCGCAGCCCTGCACATCCCAAATTCCCCCACCCCCTCTTCTCACCCCACTTCCCCCTCCCACCTACACCCTATTCCCCCCAAGGCCACCACCTCACCTTACATGTGTGTCTTCTCCAGGGTACAGGCACCTAATTTGTGGAGCCATGCCTGCATACACCTTAGAGGGAACTATCTGCCGACCACCTGAATGGAGCTCGCGGACCATTGGTGGTCCATGGACCACAGTTTGAGAACCTCTGGGATAGATAATAAGATAATCTTCATTATATGCCATTATATAAATCCACAGTACAACCATATCTTGAATACTGCATGCAGTTCCGGTCACCCCCGTCTCAAAAAAAGTATGTTAAAATCGAAAAGAGTACAGAGAAGGGCAACAAAAATGATTAGGGAGTATGGAACAGCTTCCGTATGAGGAGAGATTAAAAAGACTGGGACTGTTCAGCTTAGAAAAGAGATGACTAAAGCGGGATATAATAGAGGTCTATTAAATCACAAATAGTGTGGAGAATGTGAGTTAGGAATAAGTGAATTCTAATTTTTTTTTTTTTTGAGATGGGATGACCAGAACTGCGTGCAGTATTCATGGTATGGGTGTACCATGGATTTATATAGTGGCATTATAATATTTATTGTACAGTGCATAGCATAACGGGGCCCAACCTGGCTTAGGTTTTTTTGCACTACTGCAATATAAATATTAAATAATAATATACAACACAGTGGGAGTGAATTCAAAAATCCACAGTAACCGGAGAAGGTGGATCCCAAATCCTAAAATGTAAAGAGTTAATTCTTGGTGAGCAGGTCTTCAGCTGTGCAGTTTCATTTACTGCTTAACAGGAGATGCACAGATAAAGCTCTGAACACTGAAATGACTGTACTCCTACAAATCACTGGTAAAGAGGAGGAGACCATTTAAAGATGGCCCCTTTGAAGTCAGTGGCAAAGCTCCCATAGATTTTAATAAGTCCATGATTCCATTTGGAATGTGTTTGAAAAGGACAAACTTTAGTCAGCTGTTTCAGCTAACCATTGATAGACACTGCTCACCAGTGTTTAACAATAGCTAGCCAAAATGGTGCTCAACATAATTTGTTCTTTTCTAAGCTTACTGCTGCACAATATTCAGCTGCTACTGTTGCAAACAACTGTAATCTATTTCATAGTATCAGCAGGTCCCAATGCCCTCATGCAATCAAATTTTCCTTTGGCTACTAGACTTTTGCATATACTGTAAATACAATATTAAAATAACCAGTTTTAATTTGGTATGTTTAAGAAGTCTGTTTCTCTTTTCATCAGGAAGTTATTTAAATCCCTGCCCGAATCCCGTGCCATCTATTTACATCATAATATTGTATGCTTATCATATTAGCAAGCTCCACTGGTATATAATTCAGCATTTTATTTAACAACCTAAATCATCATAATGGTACAATAAAATGATGCAACAACAATTTATAATTCATAATGTAAATACTGACATGCAGTTACAGTATGTTCTAGTGGTATCTTCTGTTGGGATAATAATTGACTTGTCACCACTTTTCCACATAGAGTCTGGCATCTAGTTTGAGGAATTAAACTGATATAATAACCAGAAAGAGTCCACTGAAATTAAGGTCATGACTTTCTCTAAAAATGACTTAAGATGAAAAATCAGAAATGTTTATTTTCACATTCCTAGCTTCCATGCTCTACCAGGGATTTTTACTATTCCTAGTCAATTTCATGCTTGACTAAGATGTGCAGTGATTGTCTGTGAAGATATCATACAAAATATTACTGGAAAACTGGAACATTTTTCTTCCTCCTTAAATATCCATTTGCCATTCCTCCAATTTCTTCAAAATCGATGTGCAAAACTTAAAGATCAAGGTGAATATTTTGACCTTTTAAATGTTTATTTAGGTTAGGGTTTGCAACTATTTTAGTAACAAATTGGGGCTAAAAATGATTACAGGCAAGTAGAGAGTCTGTCTAATATGGCTATTGCAAGAAAGAGAGGAGTTGATTATCTTAGCATTATCAAGCACAACGTTTTGTCAGAACATTGGCCAATGGCCATCATTGGCTTTCGCGGGTACTTAACTTTCTAGGGCTGATCATGCAAAGTTTTTAATATAATCATTTTTAAATAGATTGTTTCAGCTGTTACATTTTCAGAGAGGGCACAAAAGACTTCTTAATTTAAAATAGGAATGGAGAAACCAAACCATATTAAGGACCATAGTTTTAAATTTTTCTGGACATGCTTGTCTTCTGGTCATTAATCCCCTTCTTTTTGTTTTACATCTTGTTTTTCTTTGTGGGTTTGTCAGAGAATTAACTTGCAGTTACATTCACCAGTCATAGGAAGTAACCCCTTTACAGAGTTTCCTTCTCACAGTTATAATGGTATCATAGTATCATTGTAAAATATAACATAGAAGTTAAAGATTGAAAAGATACATTAGATATTCTAGGCCATTTCCCTGCCAATGCAGGATTGTGACAAAAACAGGTGATAATGGTAGTCTGGCAAAGAGTTCAATAAGAATTTGCTCAAATACCTTCCTCTGGTAGCCACATCCTTGCCCAGCACAGCAAGACATAGAAGCTTTTCATTTAAGTGTATTTTTTCCTCACCTCACAAACTAGGAATTAATTAAAGCTTTTTTAAGAACTGTGAATTCCACAAATTGGACCGATAGTTGAAGTTCAAATTTGCCCGATCTCATTTTCAAAATAGAGATCTCTTAATGGTCAGTTTTTAAATGGTGAAGTACAAATATTTTGTGGATTAATATTACAAGGTAAAATTATATTTTTTGCTTATAATTTTAGAAGAGCTGTGTCTTGAAAACAGTATTCCCATCTTTGCAGTGAATATGTGCACTGCTTTCTTATTTGTCAGATGTATTTGGCAGTGGTGTAAATTCATATAAAGCTGCACCACAGATTTAATTTTAATTAATAACAGTGACAAAAAGTCTAATTTTCTTTGCCTGATGGAAGTTGCTGGCATCTTTCCAAACAGGTTCTCTAATGATCTTGCTTCACCATGGCAACCAATATGGAGGTGCTGGCTCAGCAGATAGTGGAGACACAGCAGGTGGCTGAGGTGAGTGGCAGATGATACTACAGTAGCTGGCACACTTGATTTTGAAAGGAAAAATATATCAGTGTTTTCCGTTGTTTACAACTGATCAGAAATGAAGCAGAAGGTAATTATAGAACAGTAATTATTTTACATGAGAACATGTAAGAAATGTAGCCAATATTTGTTTCAGTCACGTTACTTCATTCTAGTGGATTCCATATTAGATGTGTAAAACAAGAAATTCACCTGTGACCTACATGGAAATTTGGTTCTTTTGCCGATTTTATAGTTCTCATAATTGGAAATAAAAGATATGAGAAAACCAATGTGTTAGAGTGACATAGTTTAACAAATAAGGATTTCTACTCTTTAGCTGATATGCCATTTAAATCTTGAACCATGTTTCAAGTACCACCTGTACTACATAGTGAATACGGTGAACATGCAGTAGTGAGAATCTTGTGAATCATAGTTTGGATTTTTGTCCCAAGTATACATGTATAAAAGCACAAAAACAGTTTTAAGGTAACATTAAATTAACGGCCTTACTTATGTTCACCCTGACTTGGACAGTTGAAGGCTAAAATGTCTAAATCAGCTTCTCAGCACTGAAAATACACTTTATTATGGAAATAGAAGATAACCTACATATTTCTTTAGTTTGCTAATTTTAATCAGATTCTTAACTGTATAGGGTTTGTGGGTTTTTTGCTTGGCTTAATATTCTTGAGAGTTACCACAGCCTATCATATAATTACATAATTAAGGAATTTTGTAAATTATCTGTACTCAATAGTCTGTGACATCTCCATAATCAAGGCCATGTTAGAAATTTTAGTTCATAGATCTCTGACCCAGTGAACTGTAATTACACCTTGAAGATACTCAGTTTGGTGGGCTAATGTGGAGGCTGCATATCTGAGGCAAATCCACGGGCAAAAAAAACTTTCAGAAAAGGCTTTGCAAATACATTTTTATATCCAATAACTTTGTTGTACAAAGAAATATTAATTTGTTCATTTTAAAATATATTTTATGGCAACAGTGATTAAGCCACAATCTGGACTAAGGGCTGCAAAATACAGTAGAATCACTTTTAAGGACTGTTTAAAGAACAAACTAAAATTTCACCTTAGAAACTGACAAATAGAATTTTTTGTTTTGTTTTATTTTGCTCTTTCAGGTGTTTGTATAGCAAGTTTCAGGCCAAAATTAATTTTTACAAACTAGTCTTAAAAGAGCCTGAAAAAAAGAATTTGTAATGGAAAGACAGGCAAACCCTTAACTATTTTAGTATGAATGGTGATGCTATAATCACATCTAAGGCACATAAAATATGTGATATTTGTAATTCCTCGTGCAGGAAATGCACCGTGGTAACATAATGTGATGATTGTATCTTGCCACTGGAGAGCTCGGTCCTTCCCAAGAGCATGTGAAGCTCTGTGATTTCTTCCTGGCCGGTGGGTAACTAGGGCTTCCTCTCTTTACACTATTCGATTCCTCCTTAAATTATATGCTTGTCTGATGCATAACACCATAATATTTTTGTTCATGGAAAAAATATTTATTAAAAAACAACATGGTCACAACATCTGTTAATTCTTAAGGAGACAACGTTGCTTTTAAATCTTGAGCCATCTTTGTTATAAATGATTGGCTTACTGCTTTGTGTCCTTCTAAGTCAGATATATTTTTTGTCCAGTTTAATAAATGACTAATCTTTTTGAAATATATTAGATCTGTGTATTTGTATTCATAGTAGTTTCTTGGCAAGAAGGGAAATGATTAATTGGTTTGGGGTAGTGTAAAAATTTGGCATTGGCCTTAAAAAATGAGAGCTTTCTTCATAAGGCAGATATTTCATCAAGGAAAATTGAATTGGGCAAAGGGAAATATAGCCATTAATCATATACTGAATCCTAAGACATGAATTTTAAGTGGTCAGTTATGAACAAGATAATTTAATGCAAATACTGGCATGTTTAGTTATATATACAGTAATTCTTCAAACTGATTGCTGCCTATGTTGCACATGGGTTTACTGGGGACCAAGATGTCAAGAAGCAAATATTAGGTTGTCCTAAGTAAAGAGTCAGCAGTGCTGTGTTTTTCTCTCCTGTGCAGTAATTTGTCAGGTTTTATTGTCTCTCTGAATTATTGCTCCAACATGGCCATTAATGACACTACACCCCAATACCGTTTGTATTTTGTGTACTCCAAATAAGTGAAAAACATGGAATCAGTTCTCATTTTAAGAATGATTTTCTAAAGCAGCTCCTGTGATGGTTTTATCTACTGAGTAGTTCAAAGTTCACTGCTTATCTTTTTTCTTTTCTTTCTTTAGAGCTTATTGCTTGTTCCATTTCTCCAACTTTCTACTTCCAGCTGGATGAGATGGGATGACACTTTGTGTCATTACTTACACCTTAAGGTGTTATTCAGTTGGTTTTACTCAGAATTCATCAGCTTGGAGTACAGAGAACAGCTATGCCCAAGAAAGGAAATGTCAGCAGTTGTTTCACATTCTGAGCAGCTTTTGCAAATGTCATTTATATTTTATCCTTCGTGTATAAACTACTAACACTGCTTTTCTCAAGGTTTTATCTTGTACTCTGAGTATGCTATACACTAGTAGGTTTCAGAGTAGCAGCCGTGTTAGTCTGTATCCGCAAAAAGAACAGGAGTACTTGTGGCACCTTAGAGACTAACAAATTTATTTGAGCATAAGCTTTTGTGGGCTACAGCCCACTTCTTCGGATACATAGACTGGAACATATATTGAGGAGATATATATACATATGACAACTCCCACCTTTTCATGCTCTCTGTATGTGTATATATATCTCCTCAATATATGTTCCAGTCTATGTATCC